CTTGGCCGTCGTGCGCGGAGAATCTTGGCGGTGGCGACCTGTGCGCGGTTGCGCGCGCGGCGGCGCTCGGCTGCTTGCGTAAAGAAGCGCAATGGAGACGGCCCCAGCGCCGTTGCGCGCGCGGCGGCGCCGGGTCGCCCCGCGCGGAATGCGCAGCGAGGGCGGCCTTTGCGCCGCCTCGCGCGCGGCGGCGCCAGGCCGGCGCGCCTGGAGAGATGCCGCGGGGGCGACCTCTGCGCCGCCGCGCGCGCAGCAGCGTTGGGCCGTCTTGCGTAGAGACATCGGCGTCAGGCTGTCTTGTCAGCTCCGGCGCTGCGGCGGTGGGGCTTGCTCCGGCGCTGATTTTCCAAATATGTTGCCAATGTGTTCACAGGCCCGTGAGAGCGCGCCAGATCATCACGCGCGGCGTTGTTTTGCATTTATTTTAACTAACTAGTTTGCGCGAGTCGATGTTGCCCAGACGTGTTAGGCTGCCGTTTGCAATCGGACAAGAAGAAATCATGCTGGCCCCGCGGTGCAACGGAAATCTGGATCGAAAATTTCGCGCACCAAGAGCACGTTGACGCGGAACTGGGCGAACCAAGACCCACGGCGACGAGCGACTGGGACGGCCCCCCCGACGCCCCTCCGGGCTCCCCTACAGACCTGACATCCCGGACATTCCCAACTCTGTGGCTTTGTTGGGGCTGTCGTAGCTCGGCAGATGGGTCTTGAAGCTCTTGTGGTGGCTCTCGTACCTGTGCGGATGGCTATCGTAGTTCAGCGCGTGGTCCCAGATGTCCTACGGTGGTCCTGGTAGCTCTGCTGGTGGCTGTGCTAGGTCGGGCGGAGTCGCCCGTGAGGGCACGCTCTTTTAGTACTTACCTGAGATCAAATCGGAGTCGTCGGCCGCCGAGTCGTAATGTTCCACGTTCTGGGTGTCCCTGTAGTCCTGGCAGCTGTCGTAGCCTGCGCCCGGTCGTAACCCTGAAAGCCGGAGTAGTCCTGGGCGTCGTAGGAGTTCAGGCCGCTATCAAGAAACTCTCGTAGTCATACTCGTTGCAGGCGGCGCGGCCGCAGTTTGTTCCGTCGTCGTCGGCGCGGCCTCTGTCCAGGGGTATCTCCACGACGACGTCCTAAAAGTGATTCCCTGCGGTCCGATCGGTGGCGTGTCGTCCCTGGTGTCGGTTTTGGTGGTGAAATGGTGGTGGTACTCGTGATTGGCCTGCTTGTTGCGCAACTCGTTCTCGCGTTTGGGCTGCCTGTTACATGATTTGCTCTCGCACTTGGGCAGCATGTTGCGCAGCTCGTGCTTTGACGCTCTACCGAGGGCCGTCGTAGCAATGATAATGATGTCGTCGGGGCGAGGCTGTATCCCATGCTTGGCGTTGCACCCCCACTCGTTGTTGGGCCACGTCTGCTCGCGCAAATGTACATGTGAGCGTAGATGGTCTCGGCACCCTTGCCGGTACGAGTCCACGGGTTAGGGTATGTCTCGTAGCTTCGCACTTCAAAATAAGGTGGCGGATGTTGTCATCGCGATCGTCCTTGGCTTCTCATGATCTCGAGGTGTTTCACGTCGATACGGGTGGCGCTCGCTTGGATCTGGATGTGTATCAAAACGATAACGGTGATATCTTGGCGACAGATGTGGCGAGGGTGTCGCAGGGAACGCCGTCCGCTTTGCGGCGGAGGGAGCGCTCGCGTCGCCATACCCTCCAATGGGTGGTGGGGAGCACCCCTCCCCGCAGGGGACAGAATGGCCCTCCCCCTCCTCCTCTTCCTCCTTCCCCCTTCCTCCTTCCTCCTCCTCCTCCTCCTCCTCCTCCTCCTCCTCTTCCTCCTCCTCCTCTTCCTCCTCCTCCTCCTCCTCCTCCTCTTCCTCCTCCATCTCCTCTCTGACCCTCGTCGCTTTTTGTTTCCAAGTTTTCTAGGAGATGGTCGGGTGAGTATCCCTCACAATATAGTGCCGTCGATCGAGGAGATGCCGGTATGGAACTATATTCGGCACTTTCATCCCGTTCACTTCTTCCGCCGATGGATGGTCAATTTGTCAGCGTGTCTGTTCAAACCTTGGGTTCTTCCTTTTTGGGCGATTGCCTCTATAACCTCTGATCGAGGCAGGGTGAGCGGAAACGGCTGCACGGTTGAAATTGACACATCAACCCGTCAGGACATGTTGCTATTTACGTCTTCTGCTCTTCTGCCATGTTTGTTAAACACGGCGATTGAACCACCAACTTGGCAATGCCGGAGACACTCCAAGTGAGTTGACGCCGTGATGCAACGCAGTGGGCGCAATAGTCAACAGATCTGCAACCTGCACTGGCAAAACAGACGGCGACACTGGGGAGACAAACTATATCCCCTCCTTCTCAATGCCACGGAGACGATGCGCCAGAGTTTCTGATCAGCAACTGCAGTCAACAAGGTGTTGTGCGTCGACACTGCTGGGTCCAGGTTCCAGGTGCTGCAGAGCGTGTACAGGGCGGCGCCAACACAGACTTTGGCCAGAGTGGCTCGAACCGATAAGCTTGCATTCTGGACATTCTGCGGTATACCTAGGCTGCTGCTCTGGCGCGCTGCTTGTCACAAGCGGCCTGTCCTCGGCAGCGTTGGTCTTGGCTGCGCTTGCGTACCCTGCCCTCGGACGTGGTTCCCCAAACCATTTGTCTAAGACTTATGTGGCAATCTGCTTTAGCATGGAGAAAACGAGCCTGAAGGTCAGCGCCGCTCTGACGGGGACTCCACTAACGGGCGCTTTGGCCAGTGACCCAGCGAACCCAACCCTTTCCTATGTGGGCAGCGCTGCAATGTCAGAAAGAGGCCATGAAGGGGCAACTTTCAGCAAATTTCTAGAAAGCACCCGATAGTGAATACCCTTTCCTGCGTCGCCGAAAAAGGAAAGGGTCCTGGACCTCGGGGCCTCCCCCCAACACGAGGTCTTCGTCCTGGGGCGGCTTCTGACAGTCCTGGGGCCCGCGGAGGGCCCCGAGCGCAAGAAGACGAAGAGAAAAACCTCAGGGCCCGTTTCCCCCAGGACCCGTTCCCCCAACATGGCGACTGCTGCTGGCTGAGTGGTTGAGACCGGCTGGAACCGAAAGATCTGCAGCAGCGCGGGAGAGGAGGAGGAGGAGGAGGAGGAGGAGGAGGAGGAGGAGGAGGAGGAGGAGGAGGAGGAGGAGGAGGAGGAGGAGATATTATTGAGCTCTTCCTCCATTGGCGGTTGTCTCTGCATATGCTCTCAATGGGACATGCAACGTTGTCTGGCCGCGTGCCAATGGCCCATCAATGAGGTATGGTCCTGGGTAAAGCTTGCATGTCGGCTGTGGCGGCCTATCCTCGCAAAAACAGGTTTGGACGCTCTTGGCCTATCCTGGCGAACGCTGTTTTTGCTGACCCCGCCTATCCTCGCAAACCCTGGCTTCGGGCTGCACTAGCCTTTCCGGTCCGTGGATTTGGTTCTCATTGCCACCTGCAGGCTGGATGGTCGGAGCCCATAAGATCGTGACCGAGTGAGGTTATTACACCATGATCGGGTTTCAGGTGCGATTGAAGATCTGGCATCTTGGACTGGCACTCTACTACCTTGATCCGCCGGTCAACTGACAACGCAGCAGGTTGTGATGTTGACCGGACGCACGCACGTAACCTTGCCGCTGCCTAGGAGTATCTGCCTGAGCACCTTGCCACTCTGCGCGACGTGCTCGCGACGAGACGTCTGCATTCTACTGTTCACGCGCTGTCATTGACCACCCACCAGACCACCCCAACCCAACCCGAAGACCCGAATTTGACCCGAATTTCGGATTGGGGGGGGTACGGGTTCCATGCGTCTTTCCAATGCTCCCCGACCCCCCCTAACTGGGAATGGGGAGCTAATTGAGGCCTTCGGATTGGGTTGGGGTGGTTTGGTGGGTGGTGAGTCCTGGCTGTCGTCATTTCTCTGGACGCCCGAAGTGGGTACGGAAAGAATGGGGACGATGCCCAACAACAAATGTTGTCCCAAACCAAAGGCGGCCGCTGTTGGGCAGGCAGTCTTCTGTCTCCAACGTAATTACACAGGCCGCAGCGGCGTGGACAGCGAGTCCTGTTCAAAATGACAGGAATTGCAATTGGGCATTGCACCCGTTCTTTCCGTACCCATGTCGGGCGTCCAGAGTCGTGGCCGTCGTCATGTCGCGCGCCCTGGCGCTCGCGTGCCCTGAGCCGCCCGGCGTCGCGCTGACAGCTGCCCCTCCTTCGCTCCGGAGGAGCGGGCGGGCAGGGTCGGGACCCTCCCTTCGCGCGCTTGGCTGTGGCGAGACAGCGCTCACGAGATGTTTTCGGCACACAGGCTGCGGCACTGCCGCGCCTCCCCCATCATCCCTCTCCTCCTCCCGGGCCTCCTCCTGATCTTCCTCCTCCTCCTCCTCCTGACTCTCCTCCTAATGATCCTCTTCCTCCCCCTTCTCCTCCCCCTCCTCCTCCTCCTCCTCTTCCATTTGTCCCGTGAGCATTTGCAAATCTATCTGTGTCCCTGATCCGCCCGGGATAAGACTCACGAGCTCCCCTGGGAACCAGCTTTCAGGCTCGGGGGCTTTTCCTGCGTTAGTCTATAAATCCTTAGTCTTCTCCTCCTTCCGGTGAAGACGTTTTGCTTAACGCGTCGCGGCGGCGGCCCCCGCGACAGGCTATGCCCGGATGGCGTGTCGCTCCACTCCGCGCCAGAAGCTGGGAGAGGCTCGGAACGCTGCCGCTTCGGAATGTGGACGTGGATACCGTGTTGCGCCGCAGCGTGTTGGGCAAGAACTGGCGGCGCGACACGCTAAGCCGAAGTTTCTAAGGGTAATCATCATCTTCCTCCTCCTCCTCCTCCTCCTCCTCCTCCTCCTCCTCCTCCTCCCCTGCCTCCACCCTCTTCTCCTCCTTCCCCTCCTTCTCCTCCTCCTCCTCCTCCTCCTCCTCCTCCTCCTCCTCCTCCTCGCGGCGGAGCAACGCCCCCTCCCACGCACACCCGATCGGAGCCGGGGGGGCCGCTCCTGCGCGCGTCCGCCGAGACGCCCACGAAGAACTCCTGCGAAAAGGGGGGGCGACGTCGCGCGGCCCCCCAGGAACGGGGGAGCGGCGAGAGCTTCGCTGCCTCCAACCGTTCCTCCTCATCCTCCGTGAGATCCGAAGTAATCAAGAAATTCAATACCGCAGAGATTCACGAACGGAGCCCTAGGTCTCGGCTTTTTGCGTCATGTTTCGAGCCGGGTCGATCTGTGAGGGACCCGGGGCACGAAAGGAGGCGAAACGGCCCGGCTCGAACGACATTGAGACGCCAGGACCTCGGGGCTCCTCCTCCTCCTCCTCCTCCTCCTCCTCCTCCTCCTCCTCCTCCTCCTCCTCCCCCCTCCTCTCCTCTCCTCCTCCTCCTCCCCTCCTTCTCCTCCTCCTCCTCCTCCTCCTCCTCTTCCTCCTTCTTCTCTTCTTCTTCTTCTTCTTCTGCTTATTCTTTTTCTTAGTATTCTTCTCCTCCTCCTCCTCCTCCTCCTCCTCCTCCTCCTTCTCCTCCTCCTCCTCCTCCTCCGCCTCCTCATCTCTCCGCGGCGTCTGGTGCCTCGGGCGGGGGAGGGCGGGGGGCACGCTTCGGGAGGCCGGGGGCCTCGCGGGGAACTGCGGTGGTCAGGATCTGGGGCGAGCGCGCCACCTGCCAGCAGCAGGGACCTCTGCGTCGTCCTCCCCCACCCTCCCCACAGAAGGGCTGCTGCAGGAAGGAACGCCACACATAGTCGGACTCGATGGGACAGGACACGCGAGAGGACACAAGACCCTTCCGGGGACCACATTGCCACAGGAGTATAGGAAGCATGGGTCGCGAGACACAGGACACAAGGGCACCCTTGATCTGGCAGGGTCGACCTACTAATGCGGGCCGCCTGTAAGGAGGCCGGCGCGCCCGTTGTCGTGTCCTCCTCGGTTTCGTCCTCCTCAGGCGTTCTACTTTTTCTCCTCAGCTTCTCCCTCCCTCCCTCTCTCCCTCCCCTCCTCCTCCTCCTCCTCCTCCTCCTCCTCCTCCTCCTCCTCCTCCTCGTCCTCCCCCTCCTCTTGTTGGCCGCAGGAGCGCCTGCTGCCCGAGGAGGGCAGGAGGAACGGCACGGGAAGGCCCCGAGAGGAGCATCGAGCCCCCCTTCCGAGCCCAAACAGCTCTCCACTCCAGCGTCTTGCCTGGAGGAGGAAGGAGGAGGAGGAGGAGGAGGAGAACGAGGAGGAGGAGGAGAACGAGGAGGAGGAGGAGGAGGAGGAGGAGGAGAGGAGGAGAGAGGAGGAGGAGAACGAGGAGGAGGAGGAGGAGGAGGAGGAGGGAGGAGGAGGAGGAGGAGGAGGAGAGGAGGAGGGAGGAGGAGGACGAGGAGGAGGAGGAGGAGAAAGAGGAGGAGGAGGAGGAGGAGGAGGAGGAGAACGAGGAGGAGGAGGAGGAGGATGAGGAGGAGGAGGAGAACGAGGAGGAGGAGGAGGAGAAGGACTTTGCCCGCGAGGCTCCAGCTGCAGTGCTCAGCTAGTCTGAGTGAGACACAAGACGACGCGGGGGCGCTCTCCTCTTGCTCGGCTGGGCCAGTGCCGCTACGGAGGGGCGAAGTCTTCAATAGGGTGGCCCTGGAGGGGCTGTCCTTTCGGGGGCCGCTCGCTCCCTACCCGTCGTTGCTCCTGCACCCTGCGCTCCTCGTCCTTCCCACCTCCGTCCTCCCTCCCTCCCTTCTCCCTTCTCAGGCCGCCGAGGATCAAGAGAATCATAATTCGAGACGCCCGAGCCAGTTCTCCAGACGTTCTTCACACAGACCTCGGTCAACCATCTCGTTCACGCTGGAAGGGACCTTCTTAAGCGTGCTGGGCAAGCCTTCCAGCAAGTTGGTGAAGAAATGCTGGCCCAGCTTTTCGGCAGGAGGCTTCTTCATCATATGCTCGACCGTATGTGATTGAAGGGGCCCTGGGACACACAAAACAAATGATTCCACATATGTTCCCATATTTTCTGGGTTTCTGTCTTCCTTCCCCCACTGCCCATATGTTCTAATAGTTTCTGCGCAATCGACGATTCATTGTGCCTGTGTTGTATTACCCTCCTGAGTGATGAGTGGCCGTCCTCCATTGCATGTCAGGGCCACGGCACAAAGAAACAGCCAAGGACAGCCCGCCCCGCTGCCTCCCTGCACGTGTCTCTCCGCCTTGTTCTGCACTGGCAATGCTTTAGGAGGCAACTACTGGGAGGTTTTCGTCGGAACGATAAAAAGAAATAAGCCCCATTGAGGTGCTGTTACGCTGGAAAGGGCCTTGGATTAAGCCGGATTAAGCGGGTTTACGCGGGAAGAAGCTGGATTGAGCGGGATTAAGCTGTGTCAAGCCGGATTTCGGACCAGGGCAAAATCAGAACTTGACCTCCCAGGAGTTGCAGCCGAGCGTGCTGCTCTCGTACTGTGCTGCACTTGCGGCCCTCCAGCTGCGACGGGAGAGAAACAAAAAAAAAAAAAAACACGCCAGGAAGTCGGCCCCCGCTCTGTTCGACGTGCTGCGTGCCGACCTGTCGCCTGAACCACCGGCGGCCAAAACAGAGGCTTCATCCGCAAGCCCCGTCTCGCGCCCTCCTCCCTCCGTCAGGGCTCGAATGAAACGGTGTTTTCCGTTTTCGTGTTGTCTTCGTCATCCCTAGTTCTGCCTTCGTTCCACGCTTGCTGCAAAACGGAGTCAAAACGAAAACGGTCCACGAAATTGCCGACACACCGTTTAGCGCGAGCCCTGCCCTCCGTCTCCCTCTTCTTACCAGCCTGGAACATATCCCTATCCCTATGCTGGGCACCTCCTCATCACGATGCCAATCTTAGGGATTCCCTTATTTTTTGAGGGCGAATCCCTAAGATTGTCATCGCCTTCTGGAGTGTCAATCTTATTAGGGATAAAGATACGTTCGAAGCTGGTAACTCTTCGGAAACCTATGAACAGTCCCGTCTTTACATCATAGATTGGGCTGGGGTCGCGTTTGCGTCCTTGGGAGCTGGGCCTGTCAACAGCAGGGGAGCCTCGTGCTCCATGTCGTGATGCTACAGATCATGGCCAGAGCTCAAGAGGCGCCTCTTGGAGTCAGGCGTCGGCCTCAAGCTACCTGCCCATCATGTTTCTTCGCTCGCTGCCTAGCCCATCATGCTTCTTCGCTCGCTGCCTATGCCAAGTCAGAGGCAGAAGGCAACATGCCAGTCCACGTGTGCCACACCATGGACGGCTTTTTCTTTGAAGACGCATTGCTCTGCTTCGCTGGTAAGGCTAGTATTTTACTCGTAAAGGCTCCGTTTATTGCAGCAGAGGCCGCTGAGGCCTTCACATCACTGGGACTCCAAATCAACGTCAAGCCAGGCAAGGCCGCTTTCCTGTTCCGGTTTCGTGGCCCCTCCTCCCGCAAGGCTCAACGCATCTTGGCTCAGGACATGTGCAGCACCATACACACGTATACGCACACACTGGGGGAAGTTTCGTTACATCAAATTCAAAAAAACGTTCACCTCGGAACCTTTGTGGGCCCCGGAAACGGCGAGGCCGATTTTTCACCGCTTCCTGAAAAATGTCCCTTGAAAGTGGAAACGGCAAAAAAAGGCGACCGGAAACCATAAAAAAACGGCTCCAGGATTGGAACCGGAGCCGGAACCGGTCAAAAAACGGCGACGGAACTTTAAAAAAAACGGCGTCGGAACCGGCAAGAAAACGGCAAAACGGAACCGGTAACAACAACGGCCCTGTCGTTTCCAGGGCCCACTAAGTGCAGCACCATGCACACGTGTACGCACACACTGGGGGAAGTTTCGTTACATCGAGTTCAAGAATACGTCCACCCTGAACCAAGCACGACACGTCGGCCTCCATGGGGCCGGAGCTGGCGCACCGTCTTCGGTGTTGCAGTCGACAATGGGAGGTCCTTAGGAGCAAGGCTTTCAGGCAGAACTCCATCGAGAGACCGGTTGCCCTCGTCGTCCTCGACTCCCTCGTTTGCTCTGGGCGGCTATCTCAATCCAGCACCTGGGGCTACCTTACGGCAGCTCAGTACAATTGCTTACAAGACGGGCTGCGACGATATTATCGTACTATCGTTCGCTTACCTCGTCCAGAGGACCACGCTGTGCCAAACAAAGCAGTACTTGCCAAGATGGACCGCCCCCCGTTGTCCGCGTTGCCATCTGCACACAGGCTTCGCCTATTCGGCCGCCTACTTCGGACGGGTCCTCCGCAGATCATGGCAATCGTGCACCAAGCCAAGTTGGCCACGGAGAGGTCATGGGGCCACACGGTTATCGAGGATCTTCGGTGGTCACGTATATATATATATATATACTCGTCGTTTTCAAGGTCTCCCCGATCCCGATGATGATCTGGCTGTTTGGGAGCAGGACGCATGCGAATCACCGACAGTTTGGAAACATAACATTCGGCACGGCAGGCACTAGCAGCTCATGTTAGGCATCTTCAGCATGTTGAGTTGGCCCGTGCAGCTGAAGCAGATTTTCAAGTTCTTGAGTCGGCAGGTGTACCACCCGCCTGGGATGACAAGCGTCATCGCCTTCGAGTGCAAGAGTCCGAGGATGCCAAAGTGTTCAGATCTCTGTGGTGGTGCCTTACTTTTTCTCGAGGTCGAGGGCTTCGGACGCACATCGGTCGGGTTAATCGTTCCAAGGTCGCCTTTATTCGGAACTATCAGGGGTCGAATCTACGTTGCAACACATGCCTTCAGCGTTTTGCACATCGGTCGGCACTCACGGCTAATCTCGCTTTCGACTCTTTGAAGTGTGCGATTGGCCTCATCATTGCAGAGCCGCAGTGTTCAGTTACCGAAGCCGAACAGCTGCAGTGCGAGAAAGAAGTTAGGCTCCAAGCGCAACAAGCGGCTGGTCAAGGGTGATGGCGAACGGAGCTACCAGCAGTAAGAGAGCCAGGAATCGTTCGGCACCAACTCGTGGAAGATCTAGCTTGGTCTCTCTTTCTCTCTCTCCCTCTCTTTTTCATCGAGACGCCCTTCCGATACTTCTCGAAACCTACCCCGCCATCCCCGAC